CACGCATCACTGTGCGAAAAATTGAAAGACTAAGATGCATTGGGCTCAATTGCCATTTCCATTTAACATTCAATGTCCCAAATTGTATCTCCAAATTCTCCTTGCAAATAATTAGCTCAGATAATTCAAATAGATAAATAAGAATTTCCGATCAAATTTAGCACAATTAGGAAAAATAGGATAATTACTGTACATTAAGCCAATTCCTTGATTAATCCGAGATACAATAAAAACTAAGTGAAATCAATAAAATATTGATTCATCATACCACATCACCTTAGCAGGTGCACCATCATTACCATCATCACTAGTGTTTTTGTCATTTTTCTTTTTAAAACGGGATAAACCACACATTGAACAATACTTTTGGCGAAGCAAACTCCTTTATGTACAAAACACAATCATTAGGACAAACATGTATCTTTTGATATTCCAGTCCCATTGGACATAAAATTTTATTGGCCTCATAATGACGAATAGGTAGAGTATTATTTTCTGGAAGCATCTTGATGGAAGCAGCTTCAATCTTCAAGACTAAGCAACTCCTCGAACCAGAAAGTGGCAGCGGAATGGGAGAAGTTGATGGTTGATCTGGTGCATGCAAGGTGTTTGTGAAAATGTATTTCAGTGTTTGGAAGTGTGTAAGTGGAGTTTCTAACTCAGATAGCCTTTCAGCGGGGAAGGGAGCTAGAGGAAGAACAAGCTAAAGCAACTCTAAGTTTTGAACTCGAAGAAGTAGTGGCTGAATGCAATTCAACAGCATAACACTATATCAATTCAAGTTGTTTTTACAAGAATAAGGAGCTCTCTTTTATAGAGTAAGAGAAGCATGGCTATCAAGCTGAAATGTGCATGAAGCTACTGGACGTGTGCAGGAAATGCTTCCAGGCCGTGTGTTCCATGTGCAACTTATTGAAAACGTGCTAAAACAGAAGAAGTTACACGGTTGCCTTGTGTTTCACGCGATACATATGTAAAATATGCTTCAAAGACAAGAAGATGACGGCTTGGCTTTCTTGCACTCATAGAATCCTCTCATTTCCATCAAATACTAATGTCAACCCACTAAAACACTTTAGCCCTAATCCCTTAGGTGGAAGAGCCTAAGTTTTCTCACTAAGCGTCAATCCCTTGATCACTCAAGAAGCTAACCCACATTAGGACCTAGGATTTTAGGCAACTAATGGGTCATGTTCCATCCTTAGACACAATTTCCCACTAGATCTCTTGTTTCAAGCCTAGGGTTCACTAGATTTTTCTCAAAACCTAATGAATCTACAAATCGAGCCATGAATGTCCCCATTATATGCAAGCATTAAAAGAGAAAAGAAGAAATTGACATTTAATGAAAGAGGCATGTATATATCTATCCCCAATAGGGATGGCAAAAAAACTCGTACCTGCGGGTATCTGTGGATAAAATCTGCTAGGGGTATTTAATACTCGCGGATAAAAGGTACCCGCGGGTAGCGGGTATTTTAATTCCCGCTTGTTAACGGGGCGGGTTCGGGTATCACACTATCCGTACCCGCGAATATCCGCTACCCGTTAGAAAAATGAAATTACAATTTTATCTTTTAGTGTTTTTTTTCTAAGTTTTCAATTAAGCTTTATTTTCTATAATCTGCTGTAAAATTGGGCCAAGCCCAAATCCCTTTTTAGGGTTTTTTTCCAAATTAGAAAAACATCCATCTTTAAGGTTTCTTCTTCAAATCAGAATGCCCCATTCCTCATCCAGTTGGCCGCCTTATGTCGCTCTGACTTCACAGATGGTGGAGCTGAAGAGTTCTGCGATGCTTTCGACCTCTACAACCGCAACAGAAATAGACTCATCTTAGGTGGACAGAGGACAGTCCGCTACCGCTAGTGGAGGAGGAAATGAAGACAGGCACGAGCTTCAGGTTAGAGGCTTTGAGTGCAGTCTGGAGCTCGAGCGAGGCACGCTACGGTGACGACTTAGTCTACGGTGACGCGGCAGAGGTGGCGGACGAAGTGGTCGACGACGTGAGGAGACCACGACGAGAGGCAAATCTGATATGCTTTGGTGTAGATTTGAGACGATGTGGTGCATATTTGAGATACCAGGGAGCGTGTGACCCAGGGGCAGGAAGAAGAAGAAGGAGGCTGCTCCCATTTGTTTGAGAAGAAGAAACCCTAGTGGTTTCTGATCTGAAAAAGAGAAAATGGGCCAGCCCGCGGCATTTTATTTTTTTTTCTATTTTTGCTTTTGGCACCTAAGCTTAGATAATAATACACAGAAGAAAACGGGTATCCAACGGTATCCGTGGGTAAGAAAAAATCCACGGGTTTTTTAATGCGGGTATCCGACGGGTAGCGGGTCGGGTTCGGGTATCACACTATCCGTGTCTGACCCAACCCGTTGTCATCCCTAATCCCCAACAAGATGGGTTTGACTCTCCATTTCGATGGAAAACCTTAAGCTTACAAAATGGTCATAGAAGAAGAAGGAGAATCAAAGAGGAAGAAAAGAGTGTTCCCACGAGCTGTAGCAGCCTTCCTAGCTCTCCTTTGAGCAAAGTTGTGCCTCCAAACCACCAAAGACCTCATTTCCTTCGAGAGAACTTGATTAAAAAGGGAATTTTGACACATCAGCAATATCACCGCTCAACGCTACGACTCTAGCACTCAGCGCCAGCCTTCGTGGCAGCTTTTGCAAACGCCACGGAAAGTGGCGCTCAGTGTTGGGACCATTGGGAGTTCTTTATAAGTGTGGCACTTAAGGCTTATAAAACTTCACCTTTTGTTGATCTTCTTTCTTCTCTGGGTCACCGAGACTCTTCAATGTAATGGAGGATCTTCCTAACACTAAAATAGACCTCAAAACAGGAGATTAAAATCCTATTTATACAAGTGTAGCCTAAAATATAGATAAACACTAAAACAAGATAAAAGAGAAGATTTAGGCAAGTAATAAGCTAAAGAAGAGTTGATTTTTTCACTAAAATGAACCTCAAATAATAGTAAGAATTAACATTACTAAATCAAAATTTTGAAAAATCAATACAATCTCGATTTTTTTTAACTAAACTAAGTTGTATTATATTAAAATAATTTAAATATATTTTTTCAAAAAAAATATTATAAAATACTTATTTAACTATCTTAAATAACAGAGTATTTTAATTATTTCACAAAAAAAATGATAAAATCTAAAAAGAGTTTCACATTTATTTATATTATATTTATTATTTAAAATCAATTTTAAAAATTTTGGTTAATAATGTTTTAGTATATGAAATTTGAAACAAAATTAAAATTCCACTATGTATACACATTTTTGTTTTTAAATTTTAAAAGTAAATGAATATAGTTTTTTTAATTTAATTATGTTATACTTTTTATATGTCAAATATATTTTTCAACCAACATTGAAGTAAAATCGTATCAAATAGTGTACAAAACTCAAATTTTAACATGAAAAATATTTGACATGTAAAAAGGTAACTAACCTAATTAGGTTAAAATGAGTATATCAATTTATTTTTAAAGTTTGAAGATCAAAATGTATCAAAATTTTAAAAAAAAAATGAGTTTCTATTTTGCATGAAAGTTTTTGGACTAAAAATGTAGTTAATCCTAAAAAGTTTATATATATTTTCATTTCAACATTATATGTATACACCTTTATATAAATGTATCTTTTTCATCTTGTTAATTGGTTGCTTGATCATATTTATAGTAAATTAACATTCACAAATTTTAAAATTTAAAAGATAAAGTTTTACCAAATTGAAAACTTAATTGTAAAATTAACGAAATTGCAAGTATAGTTATAAACTTCTCGATTAGAAAGTTGATCGACAAACTTACAAAAACGCGCAACAAATTGACATAATATAAAATATGTTATATTTTGAAATGTATGCAGTAACTTTGCCAAATTTAAAATTCAATGATAAATTAGCAAAAGTATAAAATTTTAATGATAAATGTGCAATTCAGTTTTTAGATTTTTTTTTTTTACTTTGCATAAACTAAAATAAGTAAAAATAAAAGACAATTAAATCTAATAACATAATAAATCGAATAAGTGAATTATTTTAAGTGATCTAAATTTATAATTAAAGAAGGTATATTAAAAATTAGTAATTGAATTATTTAGTTTTAAAATAAGTTATAAATTACAATGAATAAACTTCTTTTTAATAAAATTGTTTAGTGTATTAGTGGATTAGAAGATCACACCAAGTGCATTACACGAGTAAAGTTAACGTTATATAAAAGTAAGCTAAATTTTCGGTAAATTTGAATGTTTTTATTGAGTATTTGTTTATTTTTTTATTGAGTATTTAAAAGTTTATATTTTTAAATTGAATTTTTTTGTTTAATTCTTGTCATTAAATTGAATGATGTGATTTTTATATGTTAATCAATGTGGTTAATATAAAAGGTATATTGTAATTACAGTAAATCATTCTTATTAATCTTTTATATATTGATACCAAGACCTCGTCATCTGCAACAATAAGGAAATGGTTCCTAGATAAGATCATTTTTTATGTTTTGAATGAAAAATAAAGAAAAATCTGCTCATTATTTTACCTATATATAATACATTTTTCTATTAACTACAAAATCTTAAATATTTTAGTCTCTTGAAACAAGTAAACGAGAAGACACAATCACTCCATTCACCTAAATATTAAATAAAAATAATTCAATTAAAAATACAAAAAATAAACTAAAAATATTTAATAAAAATTCTTAAAAATGTCGAAATTTACGAAGGACTTAATTAAATCGTATAAATCGCATTGATAATTACTTCTGCATCAGAATTCTATTGTATTGAAGTTGATGACGATGAAGATGCTTTCTGCAAACTAGTTCTCTTGCCAATATGTTGGGCCATTCTTCCACAACCCAAATTAAAAACGATGGCTACTGATTACTGTGTTATGATCCGCCCTATAAAAATCTACGTTCTGGATGACTATGATAAAATAAAAAATAAAATAAAATAAAAACAATTTATTGCTTCAAAATATCATGGTGAAATTGAACTCACTGTCTTATCTAACATACGAGATAACAGATCCTGATTTGATAAACATATGAATTCGAACTACATGGTTACCAGATCATACTAATACACACAAAGTAGGGGAAATTTTTCAGTACCCAAGACATACATATTATTATTGTTAATATTACAGTGATGTAATGACACACAGTTATATTATACATAAAGCTCAGAAATAATTTTATACCACTGGTATGAAATGACATAACTGAAAACGATGGCAACATCTCCGATAGTTGGATGTAGATTTCGGGTATCGATTATTTTCCTCTCCGTGGTTATGGATTTCACGGCGGCGGTGAATATCCTCTAAGGCCGGCCAGAGGGATGCGTTAGGGCGGTTATGCGAGCAGGCAAGGAGGCGCCGCCGCCACATTGGAAAAGTTTTCTCCCTGAACCCAGTAAAAAGTAAACAAATAAATAACGAAGCTTTTGTTACCTTCTTAACCTAGTATTGTACTAAAATTAACATTAACGTACCGGGTTTAATGTCAGGTTGTGCAGCAGCTCCCAGGTCGAAGGAGATAAGCAGCAAAAGGATTGCTAAAAGAGCAGCAAATGAGAAGAATTTGGAGAAAGCAAGGAAAGCCATTTTTGTGTGGGAAAGTTTTGGGTGTATGGATTAGAGTTTTAGAATGGGAAGAGGTATTTTTGAAGGTGATAAAGATGGAAGATGTTGTAGACGCGTGAAAATCCCGTCGCTGACTCTTTCTTCCCCGCACCCTACGCTGGTGACTATCGTTGGACCCTACACATATCCGCAGATAAATTTTTCCACACGGTAGTGTTTTGTAGTGGACAGCACTGAACAGTATTAGAGAAAATTATAGTGGGTAGGTGGTGTGTCACATCGAAGACCATTACTAAATTCTAAACAAATAGCAAGTCTTCCATGCAATTAAAAAAAGTATATATACTATATAAGAGCTTCCATGACTTTTTTTTTCTAACTTTACAGCTAAAGTCAACAGTCAATCCTGTCTGAGTCTTAATATATTATAGTGTAATTTGTTGGCAGTTCCTGTATAAAAACTAGTTTTAAACAAATTCCATGTATTTAATATGTTAGGTTTCTAGAATGTTTCTTTTATAATGGTTAGGCAAATTCCATGTATTTAAGTATGATTGTTGTTGTATTTATAAACATAAGATGACTATGATTATTGTAGAGTTTTCCTATTTTATTGGAGTAATAAATGTTAGATTTTAATGTAAAATATTTGCAAAATCGTTTTTCTTTAAATTCTTTTATTTTTTAGTGATTGAGTGTTTCTTGAATGTCTTGAATCATGTATATCATCATTTAACATATTAAAGCATACTAGTTTCCTACCGAAAAGACTTAAATAGTCTATATCAATTATTTTAATTAAAAATCCAAAAAGTACCAACGAATTCTTGTGATTTATTATATCTACATTGCATGACGTGAGCTTTTAAATTATCTTTTAAAGCTAAAAACATAAAATACACACAAATTATAAATGACTCCACCTACACACAAAAGGCTCCACCTGTATGTTTTGTTTAAAAATATAATTTATAAGGATATAATTTACCGAACAATCTCTGAACACACCCCTTTCTTCTTGACTCACACTTCATTTTTTTCTTTAAAAACTTTTCCTAGTTACCATCACAAATCCTCACAATCACCTAAACTAAAACATACACAATCCTCACAAATAGTCTTAAATGATTTTGTGTAGATCCCACAAATAATAAATTATGTTTACTAAAACGTGGAATTTTATGTGATGTAGTGCTTCATTTCCTAATTTTATTTTTCGTATAATGAATTAATATATAAATAAAGATAATTTTGGATTAAATATTCTTTTAGTTTTAAAAATTTTACGTAAAATTAAAATTTGTTTATATATGAAATTTTGATATATCTTGATCTCAAGATTTAAAAATAAGAGTTTATAGTTTTTTTTATAATTATGTTAAGTTTTATTTCACGTTTCAAATACATTTCATGTTAGCATTTAAAGTTTGTTTACACCATTTTCATTTGACATGTTAACACTTCAATATTAACTGAAAAACGCATTTAACATATTGAAATTAACATAATTGGATTAAAAAAATTATATTCATATATATTTTTAAAGTTAGAAACCAAAACATCTCAAAAGTTTTGTACATAAACTAATTCTAATTTTACGTTAAAGTTAAAAATTAAAAACATATTTAATTCGATAATTTTCTTTAATTTAATATATTTCACATTCTAAAAAAAATGTCTCCACTTTTACACTCCAATATATTTAGTAAATATCATACTAATACCCACAACTGAACATGAAAGTATATATTGGTATCTTGGAAACGGAATAAATTAATTTCCATAGTATATGTCGACATGTCAACTTAACTAGTGCGGTCAAAATAGATTGTAACCCGTGAGCCAATCCGGCTCACTATGGGTTTAAACCAGGTTAGGTTTGAGAAAAATGTAATTTTTTATGCGGATTAGTTTTCAACCCGACTCACTTAGAACCTGGCTCACCCGAGTTGAACTTGTGGTGAGTCAGGTTGACTTACCAACCCACCTAAATTAATTTAATTATTTATTATTTTGTGTTTCAATATTATTAGTTAGCAATTTTTTAATTATATTGTAGATGAGATAAAAAAAAAGATGTTTCAAGAGAGAAAAATATTATAGATTTATCTATTCAAGACTCTAATATTTATAAATAGATAAGTAATACAAAAATTATCAATATTAAAAACTTATTTGTTCGCCTTTTATGTTAAAAATGCTTGGATTGTAGGATATTTTTTTATTTATTCTGAATTGTCTTGGGAGTTTAACATCATTTTAGAGTGAAATTTATTTAGATTTGAATTAAAAAAATTATAATTTCTTTTATTTTTAAAAAACTTATAATTAAATGAGCTAGTGAGTCAACCTGTTTAATCCAACAACCCGTGGTGGGTCGGGCTGGGTTTCAATTTTTTCAGCTCACTAATAAATTAGCCGGGTTAGGTGTTGGATCACTAAATGACAAACCCGTGGTGGGCCGGGTCGTGTCGAGCTGGGTTACCTGTTTTGACAACTCTAAATTTGACCTCACTCATGTGGTTTGGCCTTGATTCATATGGGTTGCGATAAGAAAAATTTACAGATGAAAAAGCCCACAGAGTCAAAATATCCACAAAATTCCTATGGATTAAGGCTACCACATAGGCATTTTTCTTAGAACAAAATATTCATTTTGAATACGAGAAAAATAAAATTAACTCCTAATTTATTGCAAAGCTAAACACTTTTAATTTGTTAAAAAACTATATAAAGACATTTTAATTAGACTAACGTAGACTTTGTAAGAAATTTTAATAAACTTTAGATATTTGTTTATATATAACAAAATTACATAACAAGATAAGATGTTGAAATTCTTGACTAGCTAAACATATTTATTTTTTCTTGATTGACTAAACATATTTTTAAAGTATATAAGATATTCATCTAATTTTGTTGTGCAAAACATTCATCTAGATTTGAACTAAA